TCTGGGTACCCCCCAGTCCTCCCAGTAACTCCCAGTACCCCCCCCAGCATCACCCGGGGGCTCCCAGTACCACCCCGTAGCCCCATCACCCGCAGACACGGGGTTCCCCAGTGCCCCCAGTAACTCCCAGTATCACCCAGGGGCTCCCAGTGCCATCCCAGTTCTGTCCTGCCACCTCCCAGTAACTCCCAGTAGCTCCCAGGGGCTCCCAGTGCCGTCCCACTTCTGCCCTGCCACCTCCCAGTAGCTCCCAGTACCACCCAGGGGCTCCCAGTGCCATCCCAGTTCTGCCCTGCCACCTCCCAGTAACTCCCAGTACCACCCAGGGGCTCCCAGTGCTGTCCCAGTTCTGCCCTGCCACCTCCCAGTAACTCCCAGTACCACCCAGGGGCTCCCAGTGCTGTCCCACTTCTGCCCTGCCACCTCCCAGTAACTCCCAGTACCACCCAGGGGCTCCCAGTACCGTCCCAGTTCTGCCCTGGCACCTCCCAGTAGCTCCCAATATCACCCAGGGGCTCCCAGTACCGTCCCAGTTCTGCCCCCCTCCAGGTGTCCACGATGGGGCCACCTCCTCTAGGTGTCCATGATGGGGCCACCTTCTCCTGGTGTCCCCCTCCTCCTGGTGTCCATGATGAGACACCTCCTGGTGTCCACCTCCTCCAGGTATCCACGATGGGACACCTCCAGGTGTCCATATGGGGCCACCTCCTCCAGGTGTCCATCTCCTCTGGGTGTCCATGATGGGGCCACCTCCTCCTGGTGTCCACCTCCTCCAGGTATCCATGAAGGGACACCTCCAGGTGTCCATGATGGGAACGTTCTCCAGGTGTCCATGATGGGGCCACCTTCTCCTGGTGTCCACAATGGGACACCTCCTCCTGGTGTCCCCCTCCTTCTGGTGTCCATGATGAGACACCTCCTCCTGGTGTCCACCTCCTCCAGGTATCCATGATGGGGCCACCTCCTCTTGGTGTCCACCTCTTCCAGGTGTCCACGATGGGGGCACCTCCTCCAGGTGTCCACGATGGGGACATCTCCTGGTGTCCACCTTCTCCAGGTGTCCATGATGGGGACATCTCCTGGTGTCCACCTTCTCCAGGTGTCCATGATGGGGCCACCTCCTCCAGATGTCCATGATGAGACACCTCCTCCTGGTGTCCACCTCCTTCAGGTGACCACGATGGTGCCACCTCCTCCAGGTGTCCACGATGGGGCCACCTCCTCCAGGTGTCCATGATGGGGCCACCTCCTCTAGGTGTCCATGATGAGACACCTCCTCCTGGTGTCCCCCTCCTCCTGGTGTCCACCTCCTTCAGATGGCCATTATGAGACACCTCCTCCAGGTGTCCATGAGACACCTCCTCCTGGAGTCCACCTCCTCCAGGTATCCACAATGGGACATCTCCTCTAGGTGTCCATGATGGGGCCACCTCCTCCAGGTGTCCACGATGGGACACCTCTCTAGGTGTCCATGATGGGGCCACCTTCTCCAGGTGCCCATGATGAGACACCTTCTCTTGGTGTCCACCTCCTCCAGGTATCCATGATGAGACACCTCCTCCTGGTGTCCACCTCCTCCAGGTATCTACGATGGGGATACCTCCTCTAGGTGTCCATGATGGGGCCACCTCCTCTTGGTGTCCACCTCTTCCAGGTGTCCATGATGGGGCCACCTCCTCCAGGTGACCATGATGGAGCCACCTCCTCCTGGTGTCCACCTCCTTCAGGTGACCATGATGGGGCCACCTCCTCTAGGTGTCCATGATGAGACACCTCCTCCTGGTGTCCACCTTCTCCTGGTGTCCACAATGGGGACATCTCCTGGTGTCCACCTTCTCCAGGTGTCCACGATGGTGCCACCTCCTCCCAGTGTCCACCAGCCCCTCTCCAAAAATCCCACCACGGGGTGAGGAGTGACCACATCCCACCTCTTTTATTACAAAGCGGGGTGACGGGAGGGGACACACACACACACACACACGTGGAGGACACAACCACCTCCCACCACTACCCTGATGGAAAAGCCTTGATGACCTTGACGTCGTCCAAGGGCCGGTCTTGGGCGTTGGTCTCCACCATGGCCAGGCGCCCCAACACCCCCATGCCCTGGCAGACCCTCCCGAAGATGCTGTGCTTCCCGTCCAACCACTGCGCGGGGCCCAACGTCAAGAAGAACTGGCTCCCGTTGGTGTCCGGTCCCGCGTTGGCCATGGCCAAGATGCCAGCACCTGGGATGGATGGACAGATGGACATCTTCAAGGTGGGGGTTGCTTTGGGGGGGTCTTTTTTTTTTTGGAAAGGGTACGGTGGGAGATGGGCCACCTCATGGATTAAGGGTCTGGTATCATGGGGGACATGGCAGCCCATGGTCAAGGTCCTGGAGGTCATGGCACCCCCTAGGTGGGGTTCCTGGGGGACATTCCACCCCATGGCCAAGGTCCTGGGACACATGGCACCCCATGGATGGGGTCTTGAGGGACATGTCAACCCATGGTCAAGGTCCTGGGAGACATGGCACCCTATGGATGAGGTCTTGAGGGCCATGTCAACCCATGGCCAAGGTTCTGGCATCACGGGGGACATCCCACCCCATGGCCAAGGTCCTGGCATCATGGAGGACAGGACACCCCATGGCCAAGGTCTTGGCATCATGGAGGACACGTCAACCCATGGTCAAGTGAGGTCCCATGGAGCATCATGGGGACATTCCACCCCATGGCCAAGGTCCTGGGGGTCATACCACCCCATGGATGGGGTCTTAGGGGACATGGGAGACATCCCACCCCATGGCCAAGGTGGTGGCATCATGGAGGACATGTCAACCCATGGCCAAGTGAGGTCCCATGGGGCATCATGGGGACATTTCACCCCATGGCCAAGATCCTGGGGGTCATACCACCCCATGGATGGGGTCTTAGGGGACATGGGAGACATCCCACCCCATGGCCAAGGTGGTGGCATCATGGAGGACAGGACACTTCATGGCCAAGGTCTTGGCATCATGGAGAACATGTCACCCACGGCCAAGTGAGGTCCCATGGGACATCATGGAGACATGCCACTCCATGGCCAAGGTCCTGGGGGTCATACCACCCCATGGATGGGGTCTTAGGGGACATGGGAGACATCCCACTCCATGGCCAAGGTGGTGGCATCATGGAGGACATGTCAACCCATGGCCAAGTGAGGTCCCATGGGGCATAATGGGGACATTCCACCCCATGGCCAAGATCCTGGAGGTCATATCACCCCCGGGGTGGGGTTCCTGGGGGACATTCCACCCCATGGCCAAGATCTTGGAGGTACCACCGCCTGGGTGGCGTCCTGAGGAACATGGGAGACATCCCACTCCATGGCCAAGGTGGTGGCATCATGGAGGACATGTCAACCCATGGCCAAGTGAGGTCCCATGGGGCATAATGGGGACACGCCACCCCATGGCCAAGGACCTGGAGGTCATGGCACCCCCTAGGTGGGGTTCCTGGGGGGCAGGGTGGAGGTGCCACCCCATGCCCAAGATCCTGAAGGTCATGTCACCCCCTGGGTGGGGCTCCTGAGGAACATGGGACACATCCCACCCCATGGCCAAGGTGGTGGCATCATGGAGGACATGTCAACCCATGGCCAAGTGAGATCCCATGGGGCATCATGGGGACATTCCACCCCATGGCCAAGGACCTGGAGGTCACACCACCCCCTGGGTGGGGTTCCTGGGGGAGAGGGGGGACATCCCACCCCATGGCCAAGGACCTGGAGGTCATACCACCCCTTGGGTGGGGCTCCTGAGGAACATGGGACACATCCCACCGTATGGCCAAGGTGGTGGCATCGTGGAGGACGTCAACCCATGGCCAAGTGAGGTCCCATGGGGCATCATGTGGACATTCTACCCCATGGCCAAGGACCTGGAGGTCACACCACCCCCTGGGTGGGGTTCCTGAGTGACAGGGGGGACATCCCACCCCATGGCCAAGGTCCTGGGGGTCATGCCACCCCCTGGGTGGGGTCCTGAGGAACATGGGACACATCCCACCCTATGGCCAAGGTCATGGCATCATGGAGGACATGTCAACCCATGGTCAAGTGAGGTCCCATGGGGCATCGTGGAGACATTCCACCATCATGGGGACATCCCACCGCATGGCCAAGGTGGTGGCATCATGGAGGACACGTCACCCCATGGCCAAGTGAGGTCCCATGGGGCATCATGGAGACATTCCACCCCACGGCCAACATCCTGGAGGCCATACCACCTCTGGGGTGGGGGTTCCTGGGGGGCAGGATGGAGGTGCCACCCCCAACGTTCTTCTCCCCTCCCGGTGGTGGCCTCTACTCACCGGTGAACTTCAGCTCGGGGTGCAGCTCGTCCTCAAACTGCTTCCCGTAGATGGAGGCACCTCCACGACCTGTGGGGAGGTCGGGGGGGGGTCAGGGAGATGGTGGGAGGGGATATGTTGCGGGGGGGGGGACATCGGAAGGCTGGGGGGGGGCCCACCGGGGCCGGGGGGGGCTCCTCCTT